CAGCACACCTATCTTTTGCTACAGCATCCTCTGCAGCCCCACTGGAAAATGCACAGAGGTCTGCAAAAGGGAGGAGGTTGATCAAGGTGTGAACTCATTTGGAATATGCAAACTGCTGGAGGTACAGCTCTCCTTGTAACGAGGACACTGGCCTGGTTGGGGAAGTAGCTTTCTTGCTGACTGGTGGATGCCTGGGCTCTCCAGGTCCTTGGAGAGGCTGGCTGTGGTGTGGGAACTCGTCTGCTGCTCTCATTACTGCAAATGTTCTCGAAAGCTGGCTTTGATCTCGAGGGATGTCAAGCCAGAGCCTTTCACTAGCAATCAAATGAATGCACCAGAGCCGTTAAGAACAGGGGCAGGTTTTCCAGATGTGCTCCCTGTGCTGCAGAGGCGGCACTTCTGCTCCTTCCAGCCCCGTGCTGGGGCACCTGGCACCAGGGCTGCTGGGTGGCTTGGAGTCGGGATTGCCTTTGAGTCCATCCTTGTGCTCAGGGTGCCCTGGTTTCAGGCTGTGGTTGAGATAAAGCAGTGTCCCGGCATTGCTAGCTCGCTGGGGTTTGTATGAGGAGTCTTGTGATACTGGGGTCTTCTCGCTTTTTCTGAAAGTCTCTGCTCCTGGAGTCATGCAATTGCTTCACTTAAAAAAAAAAAAATCTTCCTAAATGATAGCTGGAAAAGCTTGAAGATCACACTGAAAAACTGGGAGACAACTTTCAGAACAGATTCATAGAATTTCTTGTGCATAATTGGGCTTTAATAATGGATTTATAAAATTGATCGTATATAGTTGAGAAAATAAATATATTAAAACTTTAAAAATTACTAGAATCCAGACTGTGCTCTTTTTGAATGCCTGGCACTTTGTCTCTACACCAGTGCATGTTGGTGCTGTGCCCAGCCCAAAGCCAGGGAGCTTGTTTCAATGAATGCTGCTTGATTTGCTTTAATGTTGATGTGTGAGAAAGAAAAAGTGGCTATCTGCCACTGCTGAGTGGGGGGTAGAGTAATAAACTTAATAGTAACTGCCTCTACCCCAGGTTTAACAGGTAATGAAATCATTAGCAGTGAGATGAATGCAGAAGGGTTGGTGGTGTAGTTCAAGCCTTGGTCAGACACAGAGGAATTAGGGAGTTAATTCTTCCTTTTGCTGCTGTTGGCTCATCAGTGAGTCACTCCTCTCCGCTCTGTTCAACTGGGCAGAAATGCTCCTTTATGGCCTTGTTCAAGGGCTTTACCTGCTGCTGGGTGCAGGCTTTTGGGGCAGCCTCGGGGCTGAATTTGGTCTAATTTTTGTGTGTTTGGGGTTTTCCTCTTTGTGTACCGGGTATATTGCCAGCCTTCTGTGGCACACAGGGACCGAGCTGCTGGTCAATTTGGGGAGCCCGGTGCATCTCCAGTGAAAGAGTGATCCCGTGTGTAACGCTGCATAGCGATGGGGTTTATAAAATAGCAAATTGAAAAAAAAGCCTTTGATAAAGCAACAGCTAATTCAGTTCTCGGATGAAGTCCAAGCCCAGTGCCAGCTTGTAAGAAGTACCCTGTAGGGACTGGTTTTGGTCACTCTGGTCTCTGTCCTTCTGTGCACGATGCCATCGTAGCTCCTAACAGGAGATTGCTGAGTTCAGATTTGGCTGAAAAATCGAAGGGAAATAAATAAACTGATTAGCTGGGCAGGAATAAGAGCTGCTCCTGTGTGAAGCTCATCTTTCTGGAAGGAGCTGGAGACCTTCATGGTGCTTAAGTCCTCCTCAAGCCGATGCTCTTGGTGATGGAGTGTAGCACAAGTGGTCTGCAGGGCTCCGGCTGGCTCCTCGCCTCCTCTTTGATTTCCAGGAGCAAGCAGAGGTGAGGCACTTGTGCATAGCTGTGAACAGAGGTTATTTCCTCTCTGGCTGCTTACCTGGGTGGTTTGCAGTTTGTGCAATAGCCAGACTGTTCTATTTTAATATCTCGCTTTGACCTCATCCATCATAGTTACAGAGGCAGAGAGGATCTTCCTTCAAAATGAAGATGAATTGTTCTGTTCGAGGCTCACGGCAGCACAGGGAGGCAGGCAGGTGCTTGGATCATCCTTTACAAACGGGAGGTGCAGCCCAGGGTGGGGGTACCGAGCCTGCTGCCTGCTCACAGCTCCTGGAGGGGGTCCAGCTCCACCGAACGCCCATCACCTTGCTGCAACCGCTGCAGGAGCTTTTGGCGAGCAGTTGTCACGTGGCTTGTAAGTGGTGTCATTGTGTTAACGTACAGAGCTGGTGACATCTTCTGTTCTCATGTCACACTTCCTTCCCGTGAGTGCACTGCACAGTTTTAGCTCTAAGAGCATGACAACGAGCAGCATTTAACTTGTCCAGCACCGTATGCTTCTTTCCTACAAGATGCCCAGGACTGGCTCTGGTGCCAGCCTTGCCAAAGGAGATGATGCTCACCCAGGTTCTGTTACAACAGCAGCCAAGCTTTTGGATGATGGATTCTCCTGCAGATGTTTCTGTTCCTGCAAGCACCTCGGGATGGCTTATGTGCAGGGCTATGAGCGAGGCTCAAATCCCCCCGCAGCCAGCGTGGGGACTGGGCTGATGTCACGAGTCTGGAATTCACATCCCCTCCCCCTTGCCTTTGCCTTTTTCCCCTCTCCTCCCTGAATAAATGTTGGAGGCAGCTTAGGAGCTGGCTGATTGGAATCTCTTGGAGCACAGGGACGTAACTGGAAGCAGAGCTGGAGTTGTACTGTCATTATTTTAGTTGCTTAAACACAGATTGGGTTGCACATATGTAGATATTTCTACGTGAAATAAAACACGGTTAAAGGCAGTGGGAAATCTAAGGGGCAAGGACAGCTTAGACAAATGTGTGTCGTCCATGTACTGTCTAACATGAGTAAGATGAGGAAATGTTACAGCTGTGTGCTGCCTGGGCCAGACCCTCAGCGGGTTTATTATCTGCAGAGTTGACTTGGATTTGCCATGTGTTTGTAATCTCTCATTCAGGGCCCAACTTCTGAGGATTGTGGAAACTTTTAAAAACTGCCTAACAATGTACATGAATTTTCCATGCAAATATTAGGCTGATCTTCTTGGTAACCAAAACTTTTTATATTGTAAAAGATCTGTTCACGCTATTTCTTTCCATTGCTGGGGTGTTGATTGTGTTCAGTGCTGATGTGTGCTCTGTAGCTCTTTCCCATGGATGTGGCACAACCCTTGCAAATCCTCTCCCTCTTTCCTCTCTGGTCTTTCTAGTAATATGCTTGATCCCATTGATTTTTTTTTAATTTTTTTTTCCCCCTTGCAAGTTTTTTTTCCTGTCCTTTGGGAGAGCTGTCCCTTTTTTTGCAGTAGCAGTGATGCCATGCATGTTCCTCATTGCAGCTGAGCTGTTTGTGGTCATTCTGGGAGCTGGCAGCTTTGCACCCTTGGCCACGCAGCATGGTGAGATGCCCCAATCCTGACGGAGGCTGGGGCAGCCAGCCCAGAGGGTTTGTCTTGGCTATCATTGCAAATATCAGACTGTCTGATGTGTGGCTGTCCTTGAGGATCTGAATAATATCGCTCTTCAGGGAAAATAATGATCAAGTGGCGCAAGCAAAAGGATCCAGCTGTGATATATTGTCCAGGCAAGGCTAAACGAAGCTGTTGTGCAGACGCTTGCTTTGGGCACTGCTAGGGGTTTGTGGAGTTGGGTGGTTCATCTTTCTGACAGCACTTTGCTCCAAGTATCAACTCAAAATTCAAAATAATTTTTTTTAAGCATTTTAAGTCAGGTCTGGTTATTCCACTTCTGGAGACACTGTCTCTCCTGACAAGAGCAAGACCAGATGAGGAAGTTAATGAGATGTATCACTTGCATTACTTAATCGATGTTCTAGAGACCTGGACATCTGGAGGTGACCCAGCCCTGACTTTGCTGGTGTGAGGAGCACTGGGTGTCAGACAAGCTCTCTTCATTAACTGCTTTAATGTCTGCAGCAGGGAGAGCCTCAGGCAGGGTACGAGCTAATCAGATGTGGTCCAGGAGGGCTGTTGAGAAAGGAGTCTTTTGCTTCATGTCATTAATCAGCATGCCCATGTGGATTTTTCCTCTTCTGTGAAGTGGATGTGTTTTGTTTGCCATCCAGGTGCATGCTCGTATGCACTGGTGGTTGTGCAGAAATATTGGTGTGTCGTGGGGGGAATACCCGGCAGAGAGGGGGAATTATTTGATGGGATTTGCCTGGGCTTGGGCTGAGTTATGGGGGGGGGTGTCACTTAGGTGCCACAGGGGAGTTATGGTGCATCCCTGCCCCACGTTGCCTTACTTCATTCTGAGCAGGGTCAGATGCTGTGCACAAACCCTGCAAGGGTCTGGGTGGGTGGGCAGGCAGCAGGAACAACCCACGAGTGCTAAAGCACCGTGCTGGGATGCTGCTCTGCCTTACCTTGTTTCTACCCTGAGGCATGGCTGTGGGTTTACCTGTTACCCCAGCTAGTGTGAATTTACGTGCAGTGGTTTTGCATGGAGGGTGTGTGTAATCCTTCAGGGAAGCCTGCTCGGGTATTTGCTTCAAAAAAACTTTTTGGATGAACCAACTTGAGGAAAAAAGAGAATGGAAATGTTTGCATCAGCATGGTGGCAACATCTTGACTTCAAGCCTTTCTCTTGGATCATGAATTTCCTGTCTAATGCTTGATCTTCAGGATGTACTTGAATGATGGAGATCGGGTGAAGCCATTGAGGATTATAACCGCTGTAGCTAAGAAGATGGTATATTCTCCCCTCTGCCCTAGTGCAGACAGCTGATCAACTGTTCCTCTCTGCGTTGAATTAGCGTCTCTGACCAGCAATACCGCGTCCTAGCTTTGAAGCTGGTATTAACATTGTATTTGCAGATGTACTGAAAACATTTCATCTGTGTTTCAAATTGTGATGAATGATTTGTGTGAGGTGGGTTAATAATGACTTGGATCTGAGCAAGTGCCAGTCTTGTTGCCTGCTAATTCTTGTTTTCTCCTTTTCTTTTTGCAGCTGAACCTGCAGACCTCTTGAAGGTATTAGATTTTCATAATTTACCTGATGGTATAACAAAAACAACAGGGTTTTGCACAAGCAGAAGATCTTCAAAAGAAGCAGATGTTGCTTATAGAGTAACAAAAGATGCTCAGCTTAGTGCACCAACAAAGCAGCTGTATCCTGGTGAGTCCACAGCCTTTTATTTGTTATATGGAAATATCTGAACCTTTTCTCGGATTCTGCAGCCACATCTAGAGCACTAATTCCTTCATTTGCCAAGTGTTCTTGCATGTTCCCTTGCAGGGAACGATTCTTCTCTTTCAGGGGGCTGTAAACATTCAACCAGCAAATAACTCTGCAGAAAGTTGTTCTTTTATTATTGTGTTTGCACATGGTGGCAGGTTTCACTGCAGAAGATGTGGCCAATACCTACATCTGTTCCTTCCTATATTAGAAGGTTTCTACTGTCTCATTATCACACAGTGACATCCAGCTGGGAAGAGAGACTTGGAAGATGCAAAGGAACGCAGACCATGTTGTGTTCGGTGTTTGTGGAGCGCCAAGCACAGTAGGGTCTTATTCTGTGGCTGTGGTGTCTCTCATAACACAAATAATCACCATAGAAAAACAACAGACTGCCCCACGAGAACAGATGTCCCAAGAAAAGCTGTTTGAAGAAACCAGAGGCTCATCAGAGAAAGCCACTAAGATGTAGGAGTTTACAAAACCCTTGAAGAACATATAGGCTACTGACCAATTTGTCACTGACAATGCACTGGAGTTTTTAAATTTTTTTAAGCCAAGGGACAATCAATACTTTAGAGTAAAATGTGAAAAGTCTGGACATGTTATGGACCCAAACTATTCACTGCTTGAGAGCTTCAGTCACAGAAACGCATCACCAGCAGAAGCCTTCCCTCCGAAGCCATCCCGGAGCACTGCGGTGTCCCTGTTTTACGCAGAGGAGTGCAGAGATGCTGGGAGTAGGTGTAGGAGGAATTCCAAGGTTTGAGAAAAGTGCCCTTGCTGAGGAGGGTTTAACAAGGAGGCAGAAAGATGCTGCATGTAGCTTGTCTGAGAAGCAGCAGATAACTTAAAGCTGACAGACACACACATTCTCCTTTGGTGTTTGCGAGAGAATTAATGATACAAAATGCATTAGCTAAAGCAAAGGTAATGTGGCATGCTGCTACCAATACTTTTTAATTAACATGCTCTGTCAGACCCAGCCTTTCAGCAGTCTAAATGAGAGCTCTGAGGCTGGACTGCTGATACACCTGCATCCTCCAGTCCTGAATTTCCTTCACTGCATGTGTTATCACCAAGGTTATTTTCAGATTTCATTATTAGCCCGCTGTGGCAATAAGCAGATGAATTATATTCAATCCGTGGCGAGCAGGAGCATACCCTGTGTCTTGCATGTGAACCAAGAGCCTGATGTGAAGGTGAGAGCAGCTGTGCCTGGGCTGCCGGCTGGTAGCCATCCATGGCATGGTCAACCCTTCGCGAAGGAGCTGCTCAGGTTTGCCTGGACCCTGTGTCAATGTCTGCAGAAGTGCAGCACAGACCCTTCGTGTCTCGAAGGATTGTGCCTGTGGAGTATTTGTCCCGGGGACAGTCTGCAAGGGCCCTGCAGTGCCCCAAGTCCATCCATGTGTCCCAAGACAAGATCGGCTCAGCCTATGCTCTTACATGCTCTCTTTCTGTGTCTCCGAAGTGACTTGAAGTTTTGGCCCAACTGGTATCTTCAGGCTCAGAAGGGCTTGAAGGAAATTACTCCAGTTTGGAATATACAACGGGAGTGGATTTGAGCCACTGTGAAATCTTGCCTGGTCGCCTTTGTGTTGTGGAAACCAGCACACAGTGGTGACCCCAAAATATAAAAAGAATTGAGTCTTCTGGCTAATTAATGTAGTGAAGAGACTGGATGATGCCACTTCTGACAAAGGTGAACACAACAAGACAGCATGCAGAACTGCATTGTGGTCACAGGAGAGAACTCAGCGTTGTAGGAGATTTTTCTTGCTTTTGTCCTACTTTACTACTTGTACATCCTCTTTGAGTTCTTGGTTTGCTTCTACTGTCTTCCTTGGCTGAGGAGATCTGAATGGTGTTTCCTTGGTGTCATCAAGTAACTTTTCAATTATTTCATCATCTGGAATAACCATGGGGTGCTTGAAGCAGCTCTGTCCCTCTCCAGAGACTTCCAAAGTCAGGGAGTCTACTGTCTACTCTGCTGCTTGCAAAGGAAATAGTAAGGCAAGAGCAAAGTGAAGAACCTCCAGTGTTTTCCATCCGATCAACAGATGTTTTCTCAGTACATCTCCATAAGTAGATGTGACTCTAGCTCACACCACCAAATGAAGGAGAGAGGAGATAAAGATAACAAAGTAATTGCAGGGCAACGTACCAGGGGAAATGTGGTTTTAGTAATTTCATGTTCAACAGACGGGTGGGTTGTAGCATAACTTTGCTGCTCTGCTATAGAGCACCCTAGGCAAATGTACACTGCACACAATATTTTGTGCTAATTAGAAGTTGATGTTTGTCTAAGATGGTAATTTTATGGGCTTTGCATTCTGCTTCTACAGCCACAGCCAGCAAAGCAAGATTATATATATATACAAAAAAGCTTGTCTGTTTTTTCAAGCCCACAAGAGTGAGAAAATCTGCTGAGATGCTCTTTGTCCTTGCTCCCTAAACAAGTTCTGCTTCCCAGCAAAACCGTGCTCTTCCAGCAGAGGCAAGAAAGGCAAAGTTGTCAGTGGCAGGCAGCAAAGTGTCATTTCCATTCTTCTAGCAAGCTGTATTCTCCACGCTGCTTGTGGGTGTCTGCATATATATATTTAAGAACTCAAAAATCTCTATTATAGCTCCAACAGTCATCTCTGAGGAAAACAAGCCATTCCAAAATTGAGAGATTTCTCAGATGAAGAACAAGACCTTGTCTCTTTCCATGGCTCCATCTGCAGAATTGGGGTCTTAACCCTTCGCTGCCTTGCAGGAGGTTGGATGTAGTGAATTTGGAAGGACTTGGCCATGGGGTAGAAGAGCCATGCTGAGCCAAATCCAGCATCGCTGCAGTGCTGTGGAGAGATGGATGCACAGCATCTCTCAGCAGGAGCTCATTTGAAGATGTGAAGCGAACATAAGGGCTTAATCCCAAACCCGTTGTTGGGGGCGTGTCTCCATTGTCTTTAAGGGGTTTTGAGTCAATTTATATGTGCTTCATATATTTATTATGAGGTATTTATTAGTATTGCTGTGTTGGATGTGTTTTCATCCGTCATTCACTAGCCTGGGTCATTCCTGGCTATGACAGTGAAGGCATTGTTATTTTGCCAGGACAGCAGAGCAGTAACAGAGTCATGTCAGCTATAATTCATCCATTATGGTTATTTGGGTTGAGAAACTCGCATCACCATGGAGACATTTTAATAATAATGAAAAAAAAATTAAAAGCAGCTTTTTAATGAGTTGGCAGCTTGTCCAAGTTGAAAGGTACTGTATTGTGGATTCATAATGAAATTTTGGACATGAATTATTTTACATAAAAGGCCCAAAACTGTAGCCTGTAATTGGAACCAGGAAGGCGTATGCTCTTGATTCAGTGCTACAGGAGGATTTGTATACGGCAGGAGAGAGATAAAGCCGAGTGTATCCTATGGGAGACACAATAATGGGATGCCTGCCTTTGCCAAATATCTGAGTCTGTGTCCTAGGGGAAAATCAGGCTGTAATCATGGCATGTAATTACTGATTACGAGTCCTCTATTCAGAATACTGCTTTATGCTGCTTTCCAAATGTTATTTAACTGAGATGTGGGACATTAACATGGTGCAAACAGTGTGTGTCTCTGTAGGTATCCTCAGATGTCCCCCTCGATGTCCCCTCTTTGTACAAGCCATTGGTAGCACTGCCCATTTCGGATGCAGCCCAGCCTGTCGGTGCCTCCTGCCTCTTCCACTGCCCGGTTGTATAGCCCCGTGTTAGGCAGGCAGATGCATTTTCAACCCTGGCTTGTTAATAAAAAGTTAAAGCAGCTCCCAGGCAGAAGAGGAGAGGGTGGTGAGCTCATGGCCTCTTTGTGTTTGAACTTGCTGGCTTTGCTGTGGTTGGAAGGATTCCTCTCTCCCATGTTCCCGGTCCCCTCCCTGGGTCACAATCCCTTTTGCAGCCCCTGGGATACCATTTAAGAAAAAGCCTAAAGGGGTGAAGGGAAATGTATTTGAAGCTTATGGGCACTGAGCTTGACATTTTTTGTGGTTTTATATGGCTACGGATCTGCAAGTTTAAAAATGCCCCATTGTGTAGTTCCCTTCCCTGCGTGCCGCCGGCTGCCACACACGTAGATGGTCCCAGCACGCACACCGCGGTGCCCGCGGCGGGGCTGCCCCACTTTACTCTGCCCTGCCAGGGTTTAAGATTTCCCAAGCAGATACCCAGCAGTACAATGCAATCCTTGTTTTTTTTGAAAGCCTGGACCTTACAGCAAAGATACCCTGCAAGTCTCCAGCTGCTGAAATGCAGCATCTGAGGAGGTTATGCCCTGCAGGTACCCTCTGTTTCAATAGATACCATCTCCAGTAATAATTTGGTCAAGAAAGCTCTTTTACCAATGCTTCTGGTGTCTTTAAGATGTCCAGTTCAGGATGTGCATCCAGGCTTTTCAGCTTGGGCTCATCTTTCCAGTTTAAATGCAGAGAAAACCCAAATGGAGGAGTTGTATCCTGCACGGGATGGGACTTGATGCCCATATTGACCTGAAACTTGAAATGTCTTGATCTGGAGTTGCAGGGGATTGACCCTTCCCCTGTGCAGAGCATTGCCTCTGTACTGACCGTAGCTGCACCATACTTCAATGGCTTTAATTGTCCAAACTTGGCAAAAATACAGACAGGAGTTGCCCAAGATTGGACAGTTGCTTTCCTGAGTGGAGAAAAAGCTAGGAAATTTGTTATATCATCTTTAATATGCAGGGAAATTAATATATCCTACTTATTGCCAGATTCATTTCTGTTTTTGGATTTTTTTTGTCTGCACCAAGTCTGCAAGCCAAAGCCACGGAATGCTCTGTTCTTGTCTGGAACAGACAAAACCTGATGCAACTTCCCTACTCCCTTAAATAAACCCTTCAATATTGCGTGTGCCTAACTGGCAGGGGATGCTCAATTTCCTCTGCTCCTCTGACATCTTAACTTAATTTGGGGACCTTATGATATATGAAACAAAAAGATTATGCCTTGTCTCCAAAAAAGCTCTAGGGCACACTAAGGAAAGGGTTAGGTGCAAATAATACAGATTTAAACCAACAGATTATTTTTTTTGAAAAAACCTGTTTCCCCAGCACTATGGTCTCATCCCAAAACAGTTGAGCCCTCACCATGTAGCTAAGATACTGTCCAATATAAATTTTTAGGGTTGATGTGCACACACCTGGAGGGATAAACCTCTGGTTTCCCCATGGGTCATGAGACAACAGGACTCTTTTTGTAGGGATTAATTTTCAAGGTAACCTGACTAACCTCTTTGCTTTTCCACTCCAGCTTCCCCATTCCCAGAGGACTTCTCCATTCTAACCACTGTAAAAGCGAAGAAAGGAGGTCAGTCCTTCTTGATCTCAATTTACAATGAGCAAGGGATCCAGCAAATTGGTGTGGAGATGGGTAGATCTCCTGTATTCCTGTATGAAGACCATACAGGAAAGCCAGGCCCAGAAGACTATCCTCTCTTTAGAGGCATTAACCTAGCAGATGGCAAGTAAGTGAAATTTTGTGCACAAAGGAAAAAACCAATACATTGTTTATATCAATACCAGCATGTTGAACATTGTGTGAAATAGGAGCCATGTCTATATGAATGTATATACAAACCTTTGGCTGCTGCCAAGTGTCCTATTCTTCAACTTTGCCCTTTGGTGAATAAATGCTGCATATATGAAAAGTGTGAATCACCAGTCGGCGCAAATTGTCTGACGCTTGGGGGGACAGGAACACTGACTTTTGCTGCAAAGGGCCTTAAGAAGTCAGTTTGTCTTGCAAAATCCCCCCCTGAGCCTTTTGCAGGATACGAGAAGGGTGGAAAAGGGGGACAGCCAGGGAGTTATCAGTGTGGTTTTCCCCTCTGCCTCTTGTTGAAACCAGAACTGGCACTCTCCTATGTTTTGGAGGGATGAGAAGTGGATGGCATCATCTGTCAATACAGCCTTTCTATTTCAAATGAAACCTTTAGGGGCTGCCCAGGGATGATTTTCATTTGTTTGCAGATGATGGCTGGCATGAAGGTTTGCAGAACGTCAGGTTATGAAAGCTTCGTTGTTATGCAATCATTAGCTTGTTCTTGAAAGCCCAAGGCTCTGTTTAACACATTTGTGGATGTTCTTCTAGGTGGCACAGAATAGCTATCAGCGTGCAGAAGAAAAATGTCACCTTGATTTTGGACTGTAAAAAGAAGATAACCAAGTTCTTGGACCGAAGTGACCATCCTATCATTGACGTCAATGGCATCATTGTATTTGGAACGAGGATATTGGATGAGGAAGTCTTTGAGGTAAGTCATGACAATGAACAGCTCTGGAGATGCTCCACAGAGATTGAGCTGGGTTCTGGTGGATGAGGTATTTACAACTCATTTTTGAAACTTCTATTGGATTTTAGTGTAATGGAACATTGTCCTAGGTAATGAAATTCTTTTAAAAAGTTTTTGTTTTGACTAGGTAAATACTTTCTGTAGTAATGATGGGAACAGTGGGCTGGGTGACCTCCTGGAGTGAGCTCCTCTGGTTCTCCCGTTCCACACCCTTGCGGGGGCTCTAGACCAGCCCCTGCACTGGGACTTTGCAGGCCTGTAGCTCTTGTGCTCTCAGCTTGTTTAGCATGGGAAGGGCTCCAGGGTTTTCATTCATCCCCGTGTTATGATTTTGATGAAGTTACAGGAGCAGCAAATGAAGGCTGGGGAAAGCAGCTCCCTCGCAAGTCGCAGTTCACTCTGGGGCTGTAGGAATTTGCTCGTTTCCCATCGTTGGCCATGGCTTCTTGCTTCCTTGCACCGTGACATAAGGGGACTCTCCTTGACAGCTTGTTGGCAGCCCTGTCACCTCCCACACAGTGACTGCTTTTAAAAAAGCAAAACGAAGTCGTGATGGGTGGAACATTCCCATGAGCTCCTCTGATTTAAGCAAAGAGATAGAGGATTATTTATAGACAAAAGTACATAAGGTAGAAGTTCTTCCCATAGTTCAGCAGCTAGTTTAATATATGCATTTCACTAGCAATCTCCACTTCTGCAGTCTGCTGCACTTCTGAGGCTTTCATGTAGATGAGAATTGTGTCCCTGATCTTTCTTGCGAGCTAGAATTGCTTCCCTGAAATCGGCGCCAGTGCAATGGAGTGTAAACTGGGACTTGTTGATCTCTATCTCCTTGCTTTTATTGCATTTATGTGGAGGAAGAGCTGTATCTCATGGGCCTCCCCAACCCAGCAAAGAGATGGGGGAACATCTATCGGTGGATAATGAGAGCTGTAGTGAAGCCAGCTCTCGTCTGCATTTTGCTGTCACTCGGAAGGAAAGTTCCAGTCTGTTTAACATTACCCAACATCTGGGAGCTGCTCTGCTGTAGACGGAGCAAGAACGCATGGACTGAACGTTGCTGACAAAATCCCAGTTACGGAGTTAGAGCTGAATCTCTAAATTGTATTAAATTAATAGACATTCCCTGGGAAGTTTAACAATTAAAATGGAAAGTAAAAGCTGGGTTTAATGGGCACTGGAGTGTCTTTTACAAGTGTTGGACATTCTGCCAAAAAATTCAGCAGTTGCACTGGATGCTGTATTTTAAGTGGGGTTACATAAAGTGGGGAGCTTTTCTGGGGAGCCGCTGGACCTAGGGATCTATCTGGTACATCCACTTAAACAACTTGGTATCGCATCCAAACTGGCTAAGAGACCTGCACTTTAGACTACTTCGTTTTGCAAGGTAACATGTTTTCCATAACTGCCCTTGAAGCTTGAGATGTTCCCAGGTGGATTTTAGCCTCACCTGGATTTTTAGGACTGATTCCTCTGCCAGGCAAGGGGACACACGTTTATGGGGGGCAATGCTCCCCAGGCTCTGCAGTTAGCCCTTCCCATGGGGCTGGGCACAGCTCCCTTGCTGAAAAGGACTTATCCCGGGGTACAAGCTCAGAGGGCTTGTGAAACCTCCTTGATCTTGGTCAGTGGGTAAAACAGAGCAAATATTCCCCTCTGCTGGAGCCTGTTGCCTGTTTGGGTACAAAACCATTGCAGGCACTTGCTGAGAACTGGATAACTGGAAAGTATTTTTTCCCCTCTGTCTTATAACATGTACTGATATCATGCAGCTTATATAAAAAAATCCCTCCCTTCTTTGGTCATCCTCATCAGACAAAGAGGGTTTTTGGGGGTATTTGTGCACACGTTAATCAAGATACCAGCAGCTTTAACCTGAATGTAATTAATAGATTTCACGAAGGCAATGGACTATAACCTAATTTCCTTCATATCTCAGCAACTTAATTTCCTTTGGCCCCTCCTTTCTTCTTTCTGCAAGTCTAAGCAGCAACTGTCCAGGGGAAATTGTGGCTCGGAACAAAGGGAAATGGGTGTAAGCTGTTAAAGTTGTGTATTCCTGGAAAGCTGATAATTTCTGGACTGAATGCAGAATGTGATGAGATGAAACTGCTGTTGTCCTGTAGGCAGCTGCTCTGCAAACCTCAGCTAACAAGACATTCCCCAGTGTTTTCTGTACCTGTGGAGTTGCCTGGCTCTTACGTGTTTGTCACTTTTGCTGGAAATTAAAATAACCCAGTTTGCTGGGAGTGGGATGGGAAGCAGCACCGGGGAGGGCTCGGCCGGGCTGTGTCTCAGCAGG